GTCTCAGTTTAAAGGAGAAATCCCAGTTTCTTTGGTCTTAGTCCAGGTATAATCCCTTCAGTGACTCCTTTTTTTTCCTAACCATGAGACGCAAGTGATACCATGGGAATAGACACTGCCCCACTTGCTTATATGGGATCATGGGCTGCCTTTGGAGAATGATCACAAAGACAATGAAAACATGATCTAACACACCTGTAGAGTCACATGTTTTCCACTCCTGATTTATAGACTTAGGCATTACTGTACTTCCAGTTAAGAACTTGCAACTAGCAATTAGTGAGAAAATAGGATTAAACAACACTAATTAGAACGTGTGACATAACCCTAGAAGTATCCTCTGTAGGTCAAATAGTGCAAGACATACCTGCTTTGCAGGTTAATGGGAGTTCTGATTTCTGCTAAATGTACAATGACATTGCTATAATTAACGTCACAGTGGTGAAGTGGCTTATGATGCGGTGTAGCTGAGCTGTTTCTTGACGTGCTCCATCACACCAGCATTACCTCCCTGTCTCCACCCAGCAGGCAGGTGCTGCATTGCTGCTTGGGCCATCACAAAGCCAGAGTTTGTGATCTGGGGACAAAAGTTATATCCATACCAATTATTTGCTGGTCAAGGTAATATTGTAATATGTAAAGGCAGGCAACTGGCAGCTGTCTGCATTCCATCAGCCCTAACCAAGGTTTATTCATTTATTTAAAATATTTATACCCCATCTTTGTCCTCCAGACAGCCCACAGTGGCTTACAATATTTAAAAAGACATTATTTAACAACTTTTTAAAATTACAAAAAAACCCCCCAAAAAACCAAACCCACCAGCCATATTTTAAGAACCCCTTTTTAGTTAGCTACTTACTGAGAAAGTGTTTCTGAAGAGAAAGGTGTTTGCCTGCCTGCAGAATGAAAGCAAAGACAAGGCCAGGCTGGCCTCCCATGCAAGTTCCTAGACAGGGAGTAGTGTCAGAAAAGGTTCCCCTTTGAGTCCTCTCCAAAAGCATCTATGACAGTAACAGGACCAAAAGAAAGCCCCCCCCCCACCGGAAGATTTAAAACCTGGGCAGGCTCATAAAGGGAGGTATGGTCTAGGCTGGACCCAAGCAACATCTGAGGACTACATGCTTCCTGTAATAGAGATTTGGAGGTGTTTGGTGGCTTCCACTGAGATAATATTTTCAGATTTTTAAAAACTCTAAAAAGTGGAGGCCTTTTAGTATACATGGAAATCCAAAGGATCAACCTACTACTAAAAAACCCTTAAAAAACCAGCCACCATTATTGTGTGGTTTCCGATGAAAGGTGAAAGAATAGCCTTGGAGATAGCAAGTAGGCTAACTTGCAATAAACTCGTAATCTTGCCTTGGGAAGAGTGTGCATGTTTTTTCATCTTTATTACCTATTCCAGGTAGACTGGAGGTGCTGCCAAAGGTCTTATCTGGTTGGGACTTCAAGCTGATCTGTCTTCTGTTTCCTGTCTGGCAATCACCGGATGTTGGTATCTTAGCAAGAGGACCTATAGGAGGTGGGTGGGTGTCCAGTTGCCAGCTTTTCCTTGTCTCCATCATAGATATGTGTCTTTTTTTTTCTTTTGCCAACATGCTCAGACTAACACAGGTTCTTCATTGAAAAGTTGGAGTCACTAATTGTAATCTTTCATCCTTTCCTTGTTTCAACACAATAGAACAAAATAGAGAGGGGTGGGAATTTTAAATACTTTCTTCCTCTAGATACAGCAGGGAAGTTTTCTCCTGTTACTTTTTCTAGTTTGAAAGTGGTGACACAAGTCACCCTCATTACTCAAATTGTGACATAAGGAATTCTAGGGGAAAGCCCCTTCTTTGAATCAGAGAAACAGCAGACAACCCATTATCTCAATACTCTGGATGATCTGAGTCAGACTTTCATGGCAGGTGTTCCAGGCAGTTCAGGTGGCCATGTGTTCGATTTTACAGAGGACAGTTTCTTATTTCAATATATTCTCTCCCTGAATGACTGTCCAGCCCAAGTCTGGTTTAAAGAGAAAAAGGCATAAGGCGGCAAGAAAGCAATGACCTTGAAGTTATCTGTCAGCAGTTATCATCTGAACAGGACACTGAACTCACCGGGCACCTGGTCATGGGCTTCTCCACTGTGGTGAGATGCACTGCATTTCTCCTTAAAGTGCAATAATTATTTCTGTACGTGTATCTATCCAAATAAATTAATATACACAAATGTTACAGAAAGGGGTGTCCGCTCTTTTCTTTTTTCTTATTTTTGGAGGGTGGGGATGGCGATCCAGCTAGCTTTGCTCAGGGATGACTCCGTGGAGATCATCTATGGGAATTCCTATTCTGTGACAGACAAAAAAATGTTGCTAAGACAGATTCAATCTACCCGCTCCCTCGGATAGGTCAAACTCCTGAGGGCAAACAGACTTCTATATATATATATGGGTTAAAATATCTTCAATTTAAAACAAACAAGCTCCTTGCCCCTTCCAAACTGGATTTCTGTTAAGCTCGTTGTGGATGCGAATCTATGCTGTGTCTCGTTGATGTATTCCTTTCCTACAGGGGAAATCCCTAAGTCAAGACATAGTTGCCCAAGTGAACTGGAGTCAGAAGAAAAGCATAGATGTTGATATCCCACCTCTTATGATTTGCTGAGAAAATGTGCTCCTTCCCCACTTCTGCTTCACGGGAGCATAAAAAAAAAAAAAGACCCAGACAACTGGCATTTGTACAAAATCTTTTTTCAAAAGACATGTTTCCTTTACACTTTTGTATATTTACACGTTATTTAACACAGATTTGGAAGCAACTAATGGAATGTTACAGAGGTGTTATGCTGCTCATTTCACAAAGTTTTAAACTCACAGGAGCTTACAAAAGTCTGTAGGTGATATTTAAGGGGATGCATGTGAGGAATATTCAACCAACCAGGTTGGTTCTATGGAAACAGGTGCTTCTTGCTGTAGTTTAGAAGAGGTAGATTATAACATGTGCAACTGTGATATCTCCTCAAAATCTGGGTTATAACTGAGTTATAGTGTGAGCAAGAAATGGATAGGATTGCACCTATGTGTTCACTGTGAATACATGTGAATGCTTCCTTGCTGCACATAGTGAACATACAGATCTCTGGGTGGGTTTATTGTCCTGTGAAAGCATGAAATCTGAATGGAGCTTCAGTCTATTCCCCATATACAAAATTTATGATTAACTCATTTCAGCACCAAAGGTATTAAAATATGTTTACATGTGATCCCGAAAAGCATAGCTAATCCCATTTCAAACTATTTGTGTAGTCTAAGAAACTTGTTAATGCAGTACAAAAGTATGACACTTAAAGGATTCGATCAAGGGTGCATCAACAGTGGTCAGTGAAATGAAATGCCTTCAGAATGCATGTACTGTACATGCAGAACTCGCAAGCGACAGTGCTGGCCCATTGTCTTCAAAGATTCACAAAACAATGAAAGAAAGATAAAAGCCTCTAGACATGGAGGTTTTATTAATGGTCCATGAATTCGTCTAAACTGTTTTCAAAGCCTCTAAGTTAGTGATCATCTTTTAGTGGTGCCTTCTGTAGACACATCTAAACATGAATTTGTCTAAACTGTTTTAAAAGCCTCTAAGTTAGTGGTCATCTTTTAGTGGTGCCTTCTGTAGACACTTGTTTCTTAATTACATATTGCATGAAATAATACCTACTTACTACCAATCATTATTACTGGTTTGGTGTACTTTCTAGATTTATAATTTATAAATCTCTGCCATGGCTCCAATGAGTCATATTTTTTCTAACGTCTAATGTCATAAATAGTTCGGCCTTTAACTTTTAGAGAAAATTATTTTTAAAATGTCCATTCACCTGCCTAACATCAACATTATAGGCACGATAGAGGTATTTTTAAGCACAAATTGTTCTAACATCTAGCAATTCAATGACCTTCATTAATGAAACTTGCCATGTGAGAATATCCCTACTTGATTCCTCATGCCAGTCTATGATGATAAAATACATGTAGTGTTTAACCAGGCACCAGAATGTCCTTTCCCCACAACCACTTTTCAATGTCTGTTGCACATTTTAAAGTTCATATTCATTCTACTCCTTTCCATTTTTGTGTGATTTAAAATGCATCTTTTTCTTTTTTTAAAAAATCCTTGTTCATTTTTTCTCTTCTCACTGTCCTTCAGAGAACTCTCCTTTGAGGTAGGCATTATTGCCATTTCACAGATGAAGATACTGATGATTCAGATGTTCACACCTGTGGTTTGGCTCTACTGTTCTCCCTACGTATGCAACATCCCATTCCACAAGTGTAAGGTTCAATTTTAACCATTCCTCCAAAAACAGAAGAAATGTGATATACTGTACTGAGAAATAACTATGGCTATGTTGTGGGGACATGACTATACTATGCGTACACCACAAATATATGTCTGCCTGATACACTGGAGTTAAATACTCTTAGAAAAACTGCAGATTTTGATTATGTTAAAAGAATCTACAAATCCTTCCTGGTTTTCTAAGTATGTAAATTGGAGAATGCAAATACCGTGACTGGATCCAAATATGAATTACTAAACATTTAACTCCTATAAACCTTTTTCAGAGAATTAAAAAACTAAGAGAACTGCCCTGATACTAGTCGTTTCAGTCTATATGTGACATTACATTCACCACTGTATATTTCGTAAACAAACCTTAGCACTTTTACCTTTGTGATATGTTCAGACTGATACTATACTTGTGATGGCTGTGGCCTGGTTCAAATCATGGCACATTGGGCTACCATTGAGGAATATTCTATATGTGCAAATCAGGCACCAGAACCTAAACTATCTGGAAGTACTTACTATAGTTTACCTGCATTATCAACAGACCATAACAAAATGTTATGCACCAGTAAAGCAAGATGAGATCAAGTTATGTCACAGATGTTCTTTGAAGAGTTGGTCTGACATCTCAGAAGTGTATGGATGGAACACTAATGGCCAGAACCACTATGCAGTTTTGCTGATTTAATGTCCAGATATTTTAGGCTGATTCCTATCTCCATGTTCACAATCCACCTTTAATCGCTGTTAGCATACAAAGAACAAGATTGCTTCAGTTTCCCCATCATCTCTAATGGGTTTTTCAGCAGGTGTCTCTGCTCCTTGCAGCAACTTTCGGACCAAATGGAAATGTCACATCTCTCCAAATGACATCTCAACAGCATTTTGTTTTTGGTTGGTCTTCTGGAGTGAGCTTTATAGAATCTGTTAGGTAGTTCTCAATGATCCCTTTGTACTAAAAGGAAAACAGAAAGCTGCATGAGTATTTGAAGCCAGGGAAACTACAAGAGCTACCTTGCCAATTACACCAGACGTTCATCTACTGTAGTACACCCTAGATTAGCCAACCAGCTCCTCTCAGAAACTGGCAAAAGGAGCATGATATAATTTAGGAATGAACAATGTGTGGCTCTCCAGTTGTTGTTGAACTGCAACTCCCATCATCCCTTACTTATGTTCCCTAAGGCTTATGGGAGTTGTGATCCAACCATACATGGAAAGCCATGTGTTCTCCACCCAATACAGTCACTCCTCATTGTTGTTGTTTTGTCCTTAAGTCGTGTCCGACTCTTTGTGACCCCATGGACCAGAGCACACCAGGCCCTCCTGTCTTCCACTGCCTCCTGGAATACTCCTCATTACTGCCGTCTTATAATCAAGGGAAGGCTCTCCTGGAGCATAAAAATGCTCTGGTTTTGATCTCATACCAATGTGGTGCTGTCTGGAAAACATATATCCATCTGGAATATTTAAGCCAAAATTCTGCAAGAGAGCCGAAGCCCCACCTCAGACATCTGACAAAGAAGCCACTTGCCTGGAATGTCTGCTAAGAATGAAGGAATAATGGCGGGTGAGATCAGTAACCTTATGAAACTCGGCAGATTACATACATCCCTTTGGTCCACACAAACCAGTGACTGTGAGGGAGATGAGACAGGAAGTGGCAGGATCCAATATTTCCCTAAAGGTAGATGAACTAAAACCAAGCATCTTCTTTGGCTTGTTTCCTCCTCAGAAGCTTGGTGGACAGAGAAAGAGGAAGAGAAAGAAGATTACCTGACCCCTAACTTGGGTTAATATACAAGGAGATTAAGGACTGGGTAGTGATCAGTTTGCAATGTCATGAGTTGCAGTTTCAGACAATATGAGAAGATTCCAGCAAAAGCTCCAATTAAGGCAAAATGACTGAGTTCCTTAGTATTGCACCTGGCAGCCTCTCGCAATCTGGTGCTTTTCACTTGTGTCGGAAAGCAGCTCCACATGAATGCTATGTTTACTGGGAAACTGTGGGTGTTCAAGTCCAACACATTTGAAGGGCTCCAAGTCGGGAAAGAAGGGCACAAATTAGTTAGATGTGGTGTGGCAAGAAAAAAAAGTTCCCCCATTCCTTTGACAACAGATCAAGGTCAATACTGGCCCAGGACATTTTTCTGCCTGAAGCAGAATGCCCACTCCCAAGCCAACTACACCAGAGCACAGGTTGCTGTCCTCTGAGGATGGCGGCTACAGAGACTGGCGAAACGTCAGGAAGAACAACCTTCAGAACACGGCCAAAGAGCCCGAAAAACCCAAAACAACCATTAGATCCCGGCCGTGAAAGCCTTCGCAAATATACTACCCCACTTCTTTTTTCTTTCAATATTAACTAGTCCATGGTAAATTGTTCCACCTGAAGCAGCCTCCTTTGTCTTCTGACACAATAAGACCTGCCTTGTTCAATGGGACCTTGGGAACCGACAGTAATCTTGGAATAACAATATTTTTATGTGCCTTGCCCTGCACAACAACATGCGGTGACAGCGTCACCTTGTGGTCAGAGATGCTAACCTCATCCAACATGCTTAAAGATTAATCCCTTCTAGAGAATGCTTTCAACACAACCTTCCTTATACAAGCAAAAAGGATTGTTTAAATGCAGTGTTTTCTATCTGGGTTAGTTCTTTGGTTAGGAAGTGAATCTCTACATTTTAGAATTTGATTTTTTAAAAATTCCATCTGCAATGCCATAGTAATTTGTGGTGTTATGTGCCATCAAGTTACTTCCAACTTATGACAATCTGGTAGGGTTGATAAGATATGTGAGGCACTCAGGGAATAGTTTACTATTGACACACACCCGCACACACACACACACCCTGCTGAGCTTCCTTGGCCAAGAATGAATTTGAACTCAAGCCTACCAAGTCTCAGTGTGACACTGTCCATTACAGTGGTGCCCCGCTTGACGATGACCCCGTTAGATAATGAAATTGCTTTATGATGACATTTTTGCGATCACTATAGCGATCACAAAATGATGTTTCTATGGGTAATTTTTGCTTTATGTTGAATAGTTCTCTGCTTCGGGAACCGGATTTTTGCTTGACAATGATCTTTACAGCTGATTGTCGGGTTTTCAAAATGGCCTCCCTCTGTTTTCCGGACCTATTTCCGGAAGACAGCGATCGAAAATGGCTTCCCCTATGGAGGATCTTCGCTGGATGATGAGGTATTCCCGCCACTGGAACACATTAACCGGTTTTAATGCATTTCAGTGGGTTTATAATTTTTGCTTGATGACGATTTTGCTTTATAACCATTTTAACTGAATGGATTATCGTCATCAAGCAGGGCACCACTGTACACCATACTTGCTGTCATGTTATTTACATATTTCTCTTTAAAAGTATTTATAGTCCCCTGTCCGTTGTCACTCCTAAGTCTCAACAACAGCAACAACAATGACTTTTTGGGACTTCATCATGGCTTTCTTTTTGTAATCTGTTGCATTTTGAAAATCTAAGTACAATTATAAGGATATGAAGTGATTTATTATATTCCATTCCTATCATTCTTTATAGTCTGAATTCTGCACACATCTTCCCCTCAAATTTGAATATGCATAAGAGAGGGACAAAAATATATTATTTTCTCAGCTTGACAACCAAACACTGCATTTGTTTGTCATCTTCCATCTGGAATAAGAATAACCAGGAAGCTGCAGCTTCAGAGCTGACAACACTGTTTCTTTCTCCATTACTAGAGGTTGTTAGAACAGCTGCAATCCACAGGGGTTTGTGGAGGAAAGAGAAAGGGAGATGATGCATCCCCTAAAATTTAAAGCGCAACATTCTCCAGAGGAGGATCACAAAAGGTTAAGGAGAAAAATATTTTAGAGATGCTACAGCAGACAAATGACTCCTGGCTAGATTTTTTAAAAATTTCTGCTGCATTATTATTTGATTTTAATTAGCTGTTCTTTTCCATTAAGTTGTATTGATTGTTCCATATATTATGAAGAGTCCTTGAAGCTTTTAACACCCCATACAAGAAAGATGAATCAAGTTTTAACATGTGTTTGTCAAAAATGCACAGGCTTCCAGTCTCAGCCACCAAAATCCGTATCTAAATCAGAGGGCAAAATCCTGTTTTGTAACTTGGTGCCTAGAATAACCTGAATTGGGTGCCAGAAATGTTTAATTTATACTAAATAAAAGCTTCCCATACCCCTCTCTCCATTTTAGGTTCCAAGGCTCCTTAGGGCTTTTTATCTACCCTTGGTAGCCTCCTTGGAATGGAGTGGGGAGCCTTTAAAGTAAAAAAAGTACTGCCAGATGAGCAGTGGTGGTCCTCAGCAGTAGTAATCTGGCAATGATTTTTAACTTTTAAAGGGTCCTCTCCCATCCTGAGGCTCCCAAAGGCTTCCCCTGAGCACAAGAGCACCCCAGGGAGCCTCATAAACTAAAACAGAGGGTTGTTGTTGCTTAGTCGTTAAGTTCTGTGTGACTCTTCATGACACCATGGACCAGAGCATGCCAGGTCCTCCTGTCTTCCACTGCCTCCTGGAGTTTGGTCGTAAATTAAATGTTTCCAGTGCCTGATCCATGTTAAGACAAGGACAAAATTATGCAGCAGGGTTTTTGCTCAATGAGCACTTTCCCCCACCCTCTTTCCTAAGTTTCTCCCTTGCACTGAGGCATGCTTCTTCTTCTTCTTTTGCCTTAAATCTGTTTTTATTCCAATTAGAGTGTTTCACAATTATGTATGCGAATGAAATATAGGTAAAATTAAAAACAAATTGAAATGTTAAAATGACTAGAATATTTTTCACTAGAAGCAGGCTGCTTTAATAGACTTATCTGGGCCATTTGAAGAACTAGATCTTTTTTA